AGCATCGTACTCATGTCCTCCGCTGCAGGGGTTGTGCATATCAATGTTGGTTCCATCTATGGAGCAACTAAAGGTATATCTATACTCAAACTATCTATCTTTACGTTCCGAGACTAACATAAATGCGTGGCAGGAGCTATGAATCAGCTAGCAAAAAACTTAGCATGCGAGTGGGCAAGTGATAACATAAGGGTTAACTCTGTCTGTCCATGGTTCATAGCAACTCCTTTAGCTAACAATGTAAGGCAATAAGATCAGAAAAAGAAAAGAAAAACAAATATCTCCTTAATACTATGAAAATAAGAACAATTATTACGTATGAATTTTAACTTATGCTAAAATCTCTTAATTAGTATCTCGATGATGAAGAGTTAAAGAAAGAAGTGGAGAGTAAGACACCAATGGGACGTGCTGGAAAAGCAAATGAAGTCTCATCGCTTGTCGCATTTCTTTGTTTTCCGGCAGCTTCTTATATAACTGGTCAGACTATCTGCGTCGACGGAGGTGCCACGGTCAACGGCTTCTCTTTCAACCCTCTGCTTTAAAGCGTGAATTGTTTGTTTGCGTTTGTGTCTATGTTTCTTTATGTTTACTGTGTATTTTTTTCAAATAATTCTCAAGTCTCAACCTGTAGCATCTTAAGCCTTCTCTTTGTTAATTATGATAAACAAAAATAAAAGGAGAGTTATTCAGTCTTCTAGAATCCGTCATATTGCTTTTTCGTTTGTAAGCACTCAGAAGTTTGGATATTCAAAAAGAATCTCAACAATAAATTACTAGCTATTATTTTAATAGATAATTAAATTTTAGTTTTAGAAACAAAATTAAACTATTTATAAGATGATAAATGGTTGGAAATTTTCTCATGAGTTTCTCATTTTTTTTTATGTAAGGAATATCATAAAAAATCATTTGTAAACAACCGCAATATGTAATGTATGTAAACATAATTCTCACGGATTAGCTCATTAGATCCGATTTATTTTAATATAAAGTTGTTGAAAAAACCATGCATCATGAAAAATATTTAAACAGAAAAAAAAAAAAAGAAAGAATGAGAAATATCTTGGGTAATAATAATATTCATATATTAATGTTTAAGGTTTTTCATTGAACACAAAAAGTCATTATCATATTCATAGCATGCAACGTTTGACAAGATCAAAAAGTTATCTTAATGTGGAATTTTGAGATGAGACAAAGTTCAAAACAATCACGTAAAAATTCTCATGGTCCAACCTGACAACTAGACTTGGTCAATGATATTCTCAATAAGAGTACTGTGATCTTCACTGCAGAAACTGATATCAAAAAATGGCTAAGACAGGAGAAAACTTGACAGACAAATCTAGATGGAGCCTTGGAGGCATGACCGCTCTTGTGACCGGTGGCTCCAAAGGCCTCGGGTCAGTCCCAGTTCTCCTAACTTGCCCACTTTCTCACTAGTTCAATGTTTCTCTCTTTTCAATCATATATATATTTTTGTGGATCTTTTGATGGTATGTTGATGTTTTATCAACAAAACCCTGAAAAGAGAAAATCTTAATTATGGTATTGCATGTCTGCTATGAATAGAGAAGCTGTGGTGGAGGAACTAGCCATGTTGGGAGCAAGAGTCCACACATGTGCCAGAGACGAAACTCAGCTTCAAGAACGCTTACGTGAATGGCAAGGAAAAGGGTTTCAGGTCACCACTTCTGTATGCGACGTTTCTTCTCGTGACCAACGAGAGAAACTCATGGAAACGGTTTCCTCTATCTTCCAAGGAAAACTCAACATCCTCGTAAGTTGATGTATAATAAGATCCACATGGATCTGAGAAAAATCAAGTGATTTTGTTGTGTGTTTTATTGTGTTTGATTTGGGTGTATATATATAGGTAAACAATGCGGGAACCGGTATAACAAAGCCGACTACTGAGTTTACAGCACAAGATTACTCGTTTCTGATGGCTACAAATCTCGAGTCAGCTTTTCATATCTCACAGCTTGCTCATCCTTTATTAAAAGCTTCAAGTTTAGGGAGCATCGTGTTCATGTCCTCTGTTGCTGGACTTGTGCATACTGGTGCATCCATCTATGGAGCAACAAAAGGTATATGTATATATTCAAACAATTAATTAATAACTCCTCGCAATGTTATGAGACTTAACGAATATATTCATGTATATAAATGTGTCTTTAGGAGCTATGAATCAGCTAGGAAGAAACTTAGCATGCGAGTGGGCAAGTGACAACATAAGGGTTAACTCTGTGTGTCCATGGGTCATAGCAACTCCTTTAGCCAGCGAAGTAAGGCAATTTATCATAAATATATACAAGCATCACCTTGATGAAAATAAGAAAAAATATTAAAATTATTACATGTAAATTTTAACTTAAACCAAAGATTGTATATTATTACTTCTTAATTTTAATTTAAGTAAAAAAATCTCTCAGATTTTCATTGATGAAGAGTTTAAAAAAGCAGTGGAGAGTAAGACACCAATGGGACGTGTTGGAAAAGCAAATGAAGTCTCATCGCTTGTCGCATTTCTCTGTTTTCCGGCAGCTTCTTATATAACAGGTCAGACCATCTGCGTCGACGGAGGTGCCTCGGTGAACGGCTTCTCTTTCAAGCCTCGACCATAAAACGTTGATTGTTTTTTTTTCGTATGATGTTTCTTAATGTTTACTGTGTTTTTTGTGTGTCTTTGAAATAAACTCCCAACCTCTAGCATCTTAAGGAGATTTTGTTTTCTTATTGTTGATCATAAACAAAAATATAAGGAGACCTTTATCGGTAAAAGAATTGTTTTCGGTTCAAGAGCTTTAAAATTTTGTGTTTGAAACAAGAGTGAGCTAAAGAATACAAGTCAGCAACACTTACAAATGCCCGTTGCATCCGTTTTCAGGACGATCTATATACACGCATGTTTTGATCTAACATTGTATTTTTTGCGTTACAAGCAACAAAAAGAACCCTTACATTGCAAACACATTCATGTTACTAAGGAATCTCTAGCCTGTTATATATTAGAGGAACTGGCAGGCCTTGCGGCAACAAACATGTTCAGTGTTATGACAAAATATGAATTTCTACAAAATATTTTTATAACTCTCCAAAATATATTTCTAGGGTCCATGTCAATTTTCCTTGTGTGATGATATTGTATGATAAATACTCTGCTCTGTGGTAAGGTAAGTGAAGAGTAAAGTTTTTTTTTAATCTAAACTAATTTCGTGAGAAGCTCCACTCAAACTGTCCCTTGTTTAGGTGTTTCATGATTAGGTACAGTTGTACAGAACTCTTGGTTTCCAGTTCGATGATGCTTCGTGACTGGTTTCTAGGTCGATAATGGTTAGTGATAGGTCTATGTAAGTTGATGGAGACAAATCCTAAACATTGGAAATTGTTGCAGTGTACCACATGCTATAGAATGGCGCTTTGTTGCATTGATTGATGTTGTTGGACATTGTTCATGTAATGCAATGTGAGTGGATTCATAGGATTAACAATTGCAGCAGATTCTCCATACTTGTAATGCAATGTGAGTCTCTAAACCGGTATCAAATCCTGACAATAGTGTGACACTGATACATATTGTGGTTTAGGGTTTAGATAGAAGAAACTGATCTATGCTCTAAGATTGTAACAATAAATCAACAGCAAAAACTGAAAATTTTAGAAACAGAAAAAAGTTTCTCGTGAAATAAACTGGGATTGTTCTAAAAAGCATTCTACACATTGGCACAAGAGCCATTCTTTTTGTACATGTGAAAGGAAAAACTCTAAAATCCTCACCATTTTTCTTTACACCATTCTCTGCCTTTTTCACTCACTCATCAGCCTAAGGGGGATGTTTGGTTCTATGTATAGTCAAAACGGTAAGAACCTACACAATGTACAGATTTTGCGGAGAACAAAACAAAGCTCTCTTTTATAATTTCTCCGCAGATTTTTGGTTTAGATCTTACCTAATTCTCAAAACGTTATGGCAGAGCCATCCACCCTAGTTAAGCTGTACAAGACTTGTGGCCTTAAGCCACCAGAGGCTGGGTTAATGACTGCAAAGCCATTCTCCTCTCTGCATATAAGAAAACTCCACTTAGAGACATTGTAATGTGAATGCAAAAACAGTAAAACAATGCCGGGTTCTATAAGGCGGCTCTATATAAAAGTTGAAACTTTGGATCCATAGAAGGGAAAGAACATGTACATACCTCCAGCAGCAACAAGTTTTTCAACACGGGCAACGATATGCTTTCCATAAGTGTACTTCTTCAAAGCATTAAGATGCACCTTAATACGAGTAAGTATCAGTTCACGCTGTTGGTCATCGCATGTCTCAAGGACTTTTTGCACTACATAGTTTGCAAACTGATCCTTCATCATCGCCTATATAATTCACAAGAAGAAACATATGAGCTTATCAGTTTCTTTGTTCTCCTCTCCGCAACCATCATCTGAAAGTATGTGTTTGACAAACCTGAAGAGGCTCATTTTCATCAGTTGTGCCAAGCATCTCATTCACGAGCAATTCCCGTTCCTCTGGCCCTCCAAAAGTCAAACATTTCTCAACAACGTTTGATGCAAACTTCTGCTGGCTCATCTGAACAATCTTTCCAGCTAACTCTTTGATTATCACGGTGCGCTCATCAGGCTTTCCATGCTCCAGTACATGCTGTCCACAAAACGTGTATCAGTTTTGAGCAAAGTATAAAAATCACCAGATGCAGTAAAACTCATATCTTTGACAAACCTGAACAACATAGTTTCCGTACTGATCTTGGGCCAACATACTAACAGTAGACAGGATTTCTTCCATAACCTTACTCTGCGTATCAGGGTCATGGCAGTGTTCCAATACTCTCTGCAACAGGAGATGAAAAAGAGTTTTACATAGAATCACAAGGGCAAGAAAGGTGCATCCATCTTTCCTTATTCCTAAAAGCAAGAACCTGAATAACACGGCAACCGTATGGGTGAGTGGAGAGGGTCACAACATGGCCAAAGAAAGTCGAAATAATAAACTCGATGTTTTCTTCAGGCACACATTCGATACACTTTTGAACCACATGGTTCCCATTCTGATCACGTACACATCGCATCACATGTCCATCAAGTTCTTTCACCATTTTAATTTTCTGGTCTAGATCAACCACCTCAATTGCCTAAAAGGTAAACATAGAAAAATAATGAAACTCTAACTGTTCTTGAAAATAGAAGATAAGACTTATAGAGAACATTAAAACCGGTGATAACTAGACTTTACCTTCTGGATGACACGACAACCATACATCTGTAAGCTAAGAGGCAAAACATTGTCAATGAGTTTCTCGCCCAATTCTCTCCTCTGTGGTGGGAGTCCATGCTCAAAGAACTGTAGGAAGATAAGCAAAATTCAGGAATCTCTCATGTTACATTGTCTTAACTCCGAAAAGAAACTAAAGAGGAAGCCTAAATAGATCTACCTTCTGAATCACATAGTTTCCAAAAACGTCAGTCATCAGGGCTAGAGCTTGTGGCATGATCTCCTCATAAACCATGTTTTTCTCATCAGTTGTTGCTGTCTCGAGTTTCTGCTGAATAAACCGGCTCCCGTATTGATCCGAACTGGTCATGAAAAACCCCAAGTACGCGTTAACTTGGGATAAATTGTACACAAGTAAAAAGGCCAAAGACTATCAACGGAATACCTGAACTCTACAACATGGCCAGCTATTTCAGAAAGTTCGAATCCTCTTGTTTTGTTACTTTTGAACTCTTCAAGCATTGAAGATCCAAAGCCTTCATCCAAACTAGCATCCATGTGCCAAGAACCCATTACCCCTCCGGAATAGTTTCTTGTTGCAGACGGATATCGCATATTAACTTCACCTCGTCTCATAGGGCTATAAGGTGACATAAGAGAATTTGGCATACCAGGATGAGCCAATGGGCTGCCAGGATATGACATATTAGACCCAAATGTTGGACTACCATAATAGCTATGGCTGTTAGGACTCCCTGATTTGTAAGGAAGACCATACTGTGATTTCTGAGCTCCGAGATAAGCCCTCTGAAGTTCAAGCATATTCATGTATGAATTACCCATATAGCTCCTGTCCATTGAAGGGTCATTAAGAAGATCAAACGAATCAGCATTTTCAGAGAACCTTGCATACTGATGATACATCGGGTCTGCAAGATGTGACTGGAGACCAGTACCTCCTCCCATCATTCGATTACCGACCCTACCAATATTTCGTGATTCAGAGAGGTTTTGACCAGAAGAAA